CATTCAATTGTTATGCGTGGAAGAGGTGGTTAATTATGGGCCTTCCGACGAACAATTATCTGCTATTGTAGATCAATGCAAGTTAAGCTCATCGGAAAAAATCGTGTTTAGAGAGCTGTTGGAAGAGCATCGAACGCTCTTTTCGGAAAAACCGGGTCGTACTCAGAGTTATGCTCATGAGATCCGCCTCAAGGACAAGCGCGAATTTTTTAAAAAACAATATCCGGTAGCGCTTGCTCACAGAGAAGCAATTCAAAACCAACTTAATTTGATGGTGCAATGGGGTGTTATACAACGTTGTGCAACTCCCTATATAAATCCAATTATGACTACCCTGAAGAAGGATAACTCCGTACGTGTTTGTTTGGACGCGAGACATTTAAACTCGGTGATGGAACGCGAGTACGAGACGCCGCTACCTATCGAGGAAATCGTTCGCAATATCCCTAGTTTTAAATATATGAGTACTTTTGATTTTACTCACGGCTATTGGCAAATTCCGCTTACGGAAGAATCTAAAAAATATACCGGCTTCCGGTTTGACGGTAAAACTTATGTGTTTTGCACATTACCCTTTGGGTTATCAACGAGCGTCAGTGCGTTCGTAAGGTGCCTGAATAGTGTGTTTGGGGATGATTTCCGTTCGTTTTTAGTTTTGTATGTGGACGACGGGTTGGTTACGTCACAAAGTTTTGATGAACACATCGCTCATTTAGACAAAGTTTTTTCGCGTCTGAGAGAAGCAAATTTTACTTTACGATTAAACAAATGTTCATTTTTTCGACAAGAAGTGCCTTACCTAGGGTATATACTAAACTGTACGGGAATAAAGCCTGACCCAAATAGAGTACAAGCGGTGATCGATTACGCAGTCCCACGCAATGTAAAAGAAATTCAAAAATTTCTAGGGCTAGTCAATTACGACAGAGCATTTTGTCCGGAGCTATCCTCAGCGGCCGCGCCGTTGAACAAATTGTGTAGAAAAAACGTAGCATGGCAATGGACGGCGACCGAGCAAAATGCGTTGGAGTCATTGAAGGAAAAAATACGTAAAGCGACTTTACTTTATCATCCGCGAGAGAATTTACCTTTTGGTCTTTCCACCGATGCATCGGATATCGGATTAGGAGCTCACCTTTTTCAAACCGTTAATGGGGAACGTCACGTAGTAGCATGGGCTAGTAGAATGTTGCATGAGAGGGAAACGCGATATACTACCTATGAAAGGGAACTTTTAGCGTTAGTTTGGGCGCTCGGTAAATTTCGTATATATTTATTGGGAAAGCAATTCACCGTTTTTACTGATAATTCGTCACTAACTTATATTAAAACTTGTAGGTTATTGTCGGCGCGAATTGCGCGATACGCGTTGGCCATTCAGGAATATGATTTTACAATAGAACATATTCCGGGATCCAAAAATGTGGTAGCGGATGCCCTTTCGCGTTATGCAGCGGTTAGACCCCCATCACCTAGTGATCGGTTGTTTAAAATTTTACCATTACTAAGGTTATCGGACGAGCTAACTAAATCTTTAAAGACCATAACCCAAGCTCAAGCTGCAGATAAAAAACTTGGAGACATAATGAAAAATTTTGACCGCGATCCAAAACTGCAGCAAAGATTTATTATATACAATAATGCACTGTACATTCGAAAAAATAATGAGGAATATTACTTACTATGTGTACCAAATTCGTTAACGTTCCAATTCGTGAGGGATTACCATGAAAGATTAGGTCATTTCGGAGCCTACAAAACGTGGAGGGCGCTTAAAAGTGAATTATGGTGGAATAACATGTCGCGGGATGTCAAGCGGTACATCCAAGGTTGTGAAATTTGTCAGAAGACCAAACATTGCGTAATGTCTAACCCACCGTTAAGACCGATTGTTCCCAAAACAAAAGGAGAACTAGTGGCTTTAGATTTATATGGCCCTTTACCCACGAGTAGGGGTGGGGTTACTTTTATTTTGGTTTTGTTAGACGTATTCACAAAATATGTAAAATTTTACGCGCTAAAGAAAGCCACCACACGGTCATGTTTAAATAGAATAATTAAGAGTTACTTTGTAGACATTAACATTCCTAAAAATATACTAAGCGACCACGGCACACAGTTTAAATCACCGAAATGGAAGGAATCGTTAGAGTCATTTAATATAAAGGTAAAATTTTCGTCAGTACGCCATCCCCAATCCAATCCGTCAGAACGGATTATGAAGGAGTTAGGCCGGATGTGTCGAGCGTATTGCGCCGACCAACATACACGTTGGGCGTACGAATTGGCAAATTTTGAAAATTTATTAAATTCCGTCATACACGAAACCACGGGATTTTCTCCAATTGAGTTGCAATTTGGAAGCGATAGAGCAAAGTTACTTCCTAAAAACAAGCAAGGTCCAGTAAATGAGAAAATTACCGTAGAGCGTAAAATTGTTTTAGCGCGAGAGTCGATGGAGAGTAAGGCGGCTCGTAGAGCAGTTGCTAATCCTGGATCGCATTTTCAGGAATTTGAAGAGGGAGATTACGTACTGTTGCGAGCGAACGTTGTCTCTTCGGCAATAAAAGCGGAAACAAAAAAATTTATGTTGTTATTCGAAGGTCCGTACAAAATAAAAAAATCGGTTAGCTATGCCACATACGTAATAGTTGATCCGGTAACTCTCGCTGAAAGGGGGACTTTTCATGCTAGCCATTTAAAAAAATTTTACAATCCTATGCAAATGCAATAGCCTTCGTCTTGTAAAATTGGGGGGCTATGATGTAGCACAATTACCGTAACCAGTCTTAACTAACAATTTCAGTGTTTTAAATTCAAATTTGGCGCCTTATTCAAGTGCTTTTCATATTTTAAAGTTGTATATCAACTTACGTATTGCGCAGGCAACGTAATGCGATTCGGCGGTATTTCCTATTTAGACTCGTAACAGCCATAAGGCCATATTTACCAGATTTTTATAATTATTAATTGAAGTGAAAAGGCTGGTGTTAGGTAAGGGTGGCGCTTGAAATTGTCTTTTGCATTTATTTGTGTATGTTAGGTTTTTGTTGGAAATTACATCTAATTGTTGTGGAGTGGAAATAAAGCATTTTGTAATCTTTGATCGTCGATACAAACCCATTCCCGAACAAAGTTTATATCTTGGATGAAAGATCCTGAAGCATTTACTATTGATGCCTTTACAATAAAATGGTCAGATTATTTTTTTTATGCCTTTCCACCATTTTCAATAATTTCGAAAGTTTTACAAAAGTTAATTAATGAGAAAGCAGAAGGCATTGTAGTGGTACCTAATTGGCCTACACAACCTTGGTTTCCCTTGTTTAAAAGATTGCTTCTAAGAAAGCCATTAAAATTTAACTCGAACGCTCGAACTGCAAACGCCTTAAACATTTCCAGAAATATAAAGGTTCCCCAACCTTTAGGTGAGTTGCTCTATGCTTTAGGGCCTTACTTCTGTGAAGTAAATGGTAAGCAATACAATTTAGCTGCCACACCTCAGCCCGCTGCGAACATACCAGATTGGTATGCAGTAGATGCGAACACTCTAGCGAACTATAAGTTATTCCTAGAGATGACAACGGAACGCTACAATAATGTAGAGTTTCCTAAACTTAGCGACGATGTTGGACATCCACTCCATTTCGTTACTAAGGAAGAGGTTCAAGATGTTGGAACAACGAAAGCAGCGTTGAATATACCTACGCCTGCAGACGCGTTCTTACGCTTCGTAAATGAAGAGTATTACACTGATAATACATTTACTTACGCACAGTCGTTTCTTAACATCACCCCACCTCTTTACATCCCCGATGTTGTGACGACATATGTTAATTCATATGTAAAACATGTTGGTGCCTAGTATGGACACCACCATTGATAATCACGCACCCGGACAAGACTATGATCACATTATGTGAATCGACATTGTTTATTAATTTATTCCTTGTTTCATAGTTATAGTTACTATTATTATTATTACATTACTATCAAATTTTAATTAATTTTATTATTTTGAGAGTCCAAACTCTAGCAGCAATCACAGTTGAAAATATCCAATTTACGGCGCAAGGTGCAAATATAAAGATCCCTGCACTTCTGAAGACTAGCAAGCCGAATAAACTGCAACCCCTACTGATTATCCCGAAGTACCTAAAGAATAAAAAGTTATGTGAAGCTACAACCCTGAAGCAATATTTAGATTGCACAGAAGAGGTTCGTCAAGGCGGGAAAAAACTTTTTCATCATTCAGAAAACCACATAAGGCTATTTCAACCCAAACATTAGCAAGATGGATTAAAGAATTACTGCTTGAATCAGGGGTTCACACTTCAATCTTTTCGGCACACAGCACTCGACACGCGTCAACGTCTAAAGCTTTCAGTAATAAGGTGAATATTGACCTTATTCGAAGGACGGCTGGGTGGTCGGAGAATTCAAAAGTGTTTGCGACCTTTTATAACCGACCAATTTTGCCTAGCTCGGACTCTTTTGCTAATAGTATTTTACTATAAGTCTATTTAAATGCTCATTATCTTTTTTATCATTAAGAATATGTTTTTCTTTGTGGGTTGTTAAGAGTATACTAGTTGTTTATTATGTTTTCTCAATGTGGTATGTTAGTATGTTCATACTCATTATATATAGATATGCGTTTGGTTACAGTTATTATTGTCTTCTCTAAATAACTACATTGTTTATATACTTCTCATCGGCACTACACATAATCTCAATCGAACTTCACTTAAAAGTTCGTTTGATTAATCAATTATAAACTGCATTCATTTGTTGAATTTAGAGGTGTTTACCTTCATAAAATGCCCGATAAATGTTGCGTCCCTCTTTGTAAAAATGGCTATAAATCAAATCCGGAAAAAATTTCTATGTTTATAATTCCAGCGGAAAACTTAATGAATGGCAGCGAAGAATCCCGCGTGAAGATCGCGATTTAACTATAAAAAATTGCGTTTGTGAAAAACATTTCGAAGAATCGGGCATTATTAGAGAATTAGTAACCGAATCATACACTGCAAGTACAATACATTTCTGTTAAATGTATATTTTGGGCCAAATGTTCCCGCGAATTTTTCAATTTATCTTAATAGATCTTTTTAAGATACCGTTAGGGAAGCCACGGTTTGCGAAAGATGCATATCCCTCTAAATTTCCAGGATGTCCCAAGTATCTAAGTCAAGTCGTGCCGCAAAAGCGTAGAGCTATAATAAAAACGGAACTTCCTGTCAAAGGATCTAATAGCAGTTCCATTTCGCCCACATCATCAGAAGTTTATCCTAATGATCAATGCACTACGATCAGCAGTAAGTATATCTGTGACTCACGGTGGTGGTGTGACTCGATCTGTGATTACTTTATTACAATTAAACATACATTTTTGTAATAAAATTCCCCTTAATTATGTGTAGAATTTGATTTTTTAGCATTCCCTCATGGTCCCCAAGGTCAAATGTTTTTAACAGTTTTCAATGAACTCTGGACAGGCGCATTATTTGTAAAGGGTTTTTCAACAAGAACTTTATTTTTCAATTGTGGCAACACCGACAACATCATAGTTTTGACATTCAGTTTTTTTACGTATTCGTAGTAGATGCATGAGCAATTGTTACAATGAATTCAATTTCGCTTGAAAATCACATTAAAATCCACTATGAAAATGGTGGTTCTGTTAAAGTTACGTTTCGAAAAATTCGTGATATTTTCGGACAACATAATCGTCCTTCTGAGACCGCTATTAAGAATTTGGTCGTTAAATTTTAGTCGACAGGCTCGATACAAAATGTGCCAATACCAACGCGTGTTCGACCGGGGCGTTCAACTGACACCATCGCGGCTGTGAGCCACAGTGTTGAAGCAGATCCAAATTTGTCAATTCCTCGACGTTCTCAACAATTGGGGTTATCCAAAACCACCACATGGCGAATTTTGCGTAAGGATTTGGCTTTGAAGCCTTACAAGGTTCAATTGGTCCAGGAATTGAAGCCGACCGACCATTCACATCGTCGTAGATTCGCTCAATTCATTCAGGAACAACCCGCGGGTTTTTCTGAAAAAATCATTTTTTCAGACGAAGCCCATTTTCACTTGTCAGGGTATGTCAACAACCAAAATTGCCGCATTTGGGCTTAAGAAAATCCTAAAGCGATTATTGAGAAGCCTTTACATGCTCAACGTGTCACTGTAAGGTGCGCTATGTGATCTGGAGGCGTGATTGGGCCGTTTTTTTTCGAAGATGAGGCTGGAAATGCGATAACGGTCAATGGATCACGCTATCGCGAGATGTTAACAACTCAATTTTGGCCTATTATTGATGACGTGGATATCACTGAAATGTGGTTTCAACAGGACGGTGCCACATGTCACACAGCCAATGAAACGATCAATTTATTGCAAACCAAATTTCCCGATCGCATAATTTCACGAAACTCGGCTGTTAAGTGGCCAGCCAGATCGTGTGATTTAACACCACTGGATTATTTGTTGTGGGGCTATGTTAAGGACAAAGTCTATACGGAGCCAATCGAATCGATTGCAGCCTTAAAACTCAAAATCCGTGATGTGATTAACCAAATAGACCCGTCATTTTGCCAAAAAGTGATTAAAAACTTTGATGAAAGAATCGGCATCTGTCAGCGTGCTTGTGGTGGACATTTGCCAGATATCATTTTTCATTCATAATTGCCCAACTTTTCTCTTTGTAATTCAATAAAAATTTTAATCATCTTCATCTAATTTTGTTGTTTAATTTTGTTTTAGAAAACCAAAGTTCTTGTTGAAAAACCCCTTATTACCGTCGCGATCGTGGGCTTTGCAATTTTTGGAACATCAAACCAAATAATTTGTATCCTGGAATCTGCCATAAATGATAACGGGATTGTATATTGCAAAAAAAAAATGGTCGTATCAGAAACATTTGTTAGATTTTATATATTTTCGTGCCAAATAGAAGAGTTAATAGAAGAAAACCTACAACGCATTTGTGATGTAAAAGATTTACATGAACTGGTGTCTTAAGTCGACCAAAGCAATTAATTCTTTTGTAAAGTGCGCACATAGTAAACCCCAGAAGTCTCGCGTTGCTCTTTTGAAGCAGCTATCTAACAACCGACGGCAGCAAGTACGGCGATTAAAAGAAAAAACAAACAAGTCAAGGAGGAATTAATTCAATGTTTATTAAAACTTCAAAATATGGACAAGGAAGGTTTACTTCGCAAAATTGATGAAATAGAACATTTTACCAGCGCCCAAAAATTAGTAGTAAAGGAGTGTCTTAAAGCCTGCAGATACCGAAAGAGTTCTTCCAGAAGGTACTCCTCCGAGTGGCTTCTAACGTGCTTATTATTAAGGATCCTCAGATCCTTTATAGTTTTGTATTGTCGTCCGTCCGTCCGTGTGCGCTCTAACTCTTTTTAAAAGTGGCCGATTGAGTTGAAATTTGGTGTACGGGTTCTTTGGACATTAAGGACGGACGCTATTGATTTTCAGGAAGCTGGTTCAATAGGAACAAAAGTTATAGGACTTCGAGTGAATCGGGAACAGGAAAAACTACGGGCTCAATATAATAGAAATCAACATATTTCATTCCCTAGGTCATGTATCGGGTTGGGACTTCCGCTAGATTATTCCCTATGACTCTTAGATGTGTAATACTTTAATATAACTCTTCTCTGTGGTATCGGTCGAAAGTTTTAGAGCAAAATGTAGCAAAAATTACACTTTATACATGAATTTAGAGTTTTAAAAGGTTTCAAACGCATTATCTTGATGCAGCAAGAGTACATCACGTGCACATTTGATAACCGCATGTGTGTGATTCAAAAATGTTAAATTATTGCCATATGGGTTTTGATCAAAATAATCAAAATCGTTATTTATGCACCAAGATCGTCGAGAAAAAGACTAGGGGCATTATCTCAATGCTCAAGACATAAATTTGATGCATTTCTGGCGACCACATGGATTTTGATCAAAACATGTCAAAATCGTTATTTATGCACCAAGATCGTTGGGAAAAAGACTAAGAGCATCATCTCAATGACCAAAACATGAATTTGATCTATTTTTGGCGACCACATGAATTTTGATCAAAACATGTCAAAATCGTTATTTATGCACCAAGAACGTTGGGAAAAAGACCAAGAGCATTATCTCAATGATCAAAACATGAATTTGATCTATTTTTGGCGACCACATGGATTTTGATCAAAACAAGATTAAGAGCATTATCTCAATGGCCAAGACATGAATTTGATGTATTTTGTAACATTAAAATAAATTATCGTTAAAAGTTATTGTAATACTGAGGATCCTTCGATATTTCGTTGTATCGGTTTATTACACATTAAAAGTCCATCGGCTTATAGGTTTTTGAGAAACGGTGAAGTTTTACCACTCCCGGCCATGTCGACTATAAGATCATACTTGTCTGTCTAGAGTAAACCTGAAATGTGGGCTGGACGAACATTTTTTGAGGCCTTTAAGTTAAAAATGGCCCAAAAAAATACGTTACATAGGCACGGAATACTAATTTTCGACGAAATGCAAGTTAGAGAGGATATCAACTTAAATGTAAAACAATGAAGCTGATCGGCGTTCAAGATTTTGGAGCTGATAATACATACACCTCAAAATGTTCCGACAAAAAAGCTGACCCTGCCTTTGTTTTTATGTTTTCTTCATTAACGGAACGATTTTGTCAGCCAGTGGCCGTATATGCCACTAAGAGTGTCACCAGAGGTACCTGTTTAGCCGAAGCGTCGTCAGTGACACAACTGAAGAGATTGCATCTACAACAATCGAAGACATTGCTCCAGAACCATCCCCTACCTCTGCCGCGCCATGTGCCGGAGTCGGAAGTGATCTTTTGAGTGCTAAAATGACTGCGAGCACGAGCACCTCAGTGTCGACGCCGACGCCATCGACGTCTCGGTTAATTTCAAGTGGTGTCCTCACCGTTACGCTCGAAACGCGACATGTACCAGCATGTAATTTTAAGTTTCCGAAGTCTGACGGTGGCCGCAGTTGTGTGCGGAACCGGAACTGGTTTGACACTTACAAGTGGCTCCATTACGTTAAAGATCAGGATCACTTGCTATGTTTTACCTTTAAATTTTGGCGGAAGGCAATCGAGAAGTTTGATAGCCATCAAAGTTCCAAATACCATCATGAGTCTGCCGAATATTTAGTTAATGTCTTAAAAAGAGAGTCTGTTGGAACCATTCTGTCAGCGCAGCTCAGAAAATCTCAGTCAGACGCTCGTACCGCTTACAAAGTAGTTTTAAGTTCTTTGAGGTATTTTGCCCGTAGTGGGCAACCTAAACGAGGCCCAACGCATTATAGTGGAAACTTTATAGAACTTTTAGAGGAAAGAGCACTTGAATGTCCTGAACTACAAGAATGGCTGAAAAAAAGGGATAACTGGCTTAGCAGTGATATCCAAAACGAAATTCTTGAAATTATGGCACACGAGGTCCTTCGCACTCTTGTTCGGGATATTATGGAGTAAGTTTTTTTCAGTAATGGTGGACGGCACGACGGACATTACAGGTGACGAGCAATTATCTGTTTTCGCTACGTACAGAAGGACACTTTGGACGTCCACGAAGTTTTTGTTGGGCTTTATTGCATACAAGTCAGCCGTGAACTCAATATTTCTCCATTCATAAAAACCACAACAAGAAAATTCTTTCATGATCTGAGAAACTGTCCGGGTTCAATTTACTACGCACTTGGTCAACGATCACAAAACCTTAGACTAAAACCACCCGGCGTTTTGCTGCCTGCTCTCTCATAATCCTTAATTTATTTTGAAGTAAAATCATCTGTTCATTTTTTGGTTTGGTTCTGTATGGGGTTTTTAAAACGACTGTCACTTCTTGATTTGAAGTACTCGGAATACATAGGGAAAGTGACGTACTTGAATCCATCATAAAACTAAGAAGACTCTCCCCTATATATAATATACGATACCATAAATAACATTAGACCATCTATACTCGTTCTAACATTACCGTCCCGCCCATAACATTACCGTCACATTTTGCCCCTAGATGTTTTTGAAAATGGCAGTCAAGTTTGAGCTTAGCGAAAGTTCGTTGTTGGCGGGGCTTGTATTATTAATAAAAGTATTATGATAGCTATCATTATAACTAAATGGTCTTATGGGACGGTAATGTTGAGAGAATAGTATATTGTAAGACAAGTGTTACAATGCGACCTATTGTAATACGACTATCTTGTGGCACGAGTGGCGACGCGAAGCGTAGCCACGAGTGTCCGCAAGATAGGAGTATTACAAGCATTGTAACACGCGTTTTTCATACTATTTTTTCTATTTCGGTGCTTTAATTTAATTAAAAAAATCATTATCAGAAACTATAGGGAACATTAGAACTAACATGTTTTATGTTGGGAACACTTTTTATGCCGTTAAGTTTTAGGTTGGCAGCGTAGTAAGACTGACATTTTGAAGTTCAAACATGGAAGTACCCAACGAAGTACCTACTTGTACTAACTTGTAACTGCCAACTTAATAGATGAGTTACCAAAAAGAACGACTATAATCACTGTCTTTGTACAACTGCCGAAAACAGTTGTACAAAATCATCAATGTGACACCGAAATAGAAAAAAAATATTTTACACAAAACTTACCTTTAATACAAAATATATGAGAAAATTTAAAGTGAAAGTTAAGAAGTTCAAACAGTTGACCGTGACCGTAATGATAAAATGGAATCTTAATAATAAAAAAAACCACAAACTGGAATTTGTGTTTACCTTTTTTCTATTAATTGGTATACACAACAATGTCTTAAAGGTAAAAAAAATAATATGCTTTGATACCGTTCTAAATAAAGATTTGGTAGTGCGGTATACCTAAAGTTAAAGGTTATTGAAAAAGACCCGTAAATGTATCTATAACTATCATATGTGCATTTTAATAATTACTTATATAATTTTTACTGTGATGTGCAATTTATGGTAATGAAAAACATAATAAGCGACAATTTTTTTACGTTTTTAAATCATACCTTTCAAATGCAATGCCAAAGTTCGTTGGGCATCTTTTTCATCATTTATATTAAAAAATGTATATTAATCTTGCTACAGTTTGTTTTATATTAAATTCTCCAGTTTAATGAATAATTTTATTAAATAAACAGTAGCTATATTAAAAAAAAATTGGTTAACTGTAACGTTACGCTATATATGATAATGGACCTTTTCTAATTAACAAATATTTCAAGATTATTAGCCGTTTTCATATTAATTGGTAAATTTATGATTTTTTCAGCTAATTTTTTAATTGTATTGATAGAATTTTTACCGTTTTTTCATAATAAATCAAAATTTTGTTTGTAATAGTTATATATGCAATTTGGTTAATTATTTGTCTTGTGTTAGATAAAATGGCTGCATTTTTCGGGTTAGGAGACAGTATTTTAAGAAGAGTGCTGGTAGAGGGACAAGGTGTCTCTACTAGTCGAATTTATGGCAAGCTCGTCGTGAACTTCTGTATCGGTGGGCAAACGATTTCGCAATTGAGAAAAAGAGTCGCACGCTCACGAAGTGATGAATCGGAATGGTTTGTGCCTAGAAATACGCCTCTGCTCGTTTTGATAGGAACCAACGATATTTTAAAAAGTGGCAGAGCTTCTGTTGTCTTTAATAATCTTAAACGGTTATTAAGTACATTGGAAAAGTGGTCGTGGATAATAACCCCCATCACATTGTGCACTCCTCCTCCAATAAAGCGTGCAAGTCCTGATGTTCGACATCAGTTGCATAAATACAAACGTCGATTAGAACATTGTGTTCTAATCGATGTGATGTATTTAGGCTATTGGACGCGGAGGATTACGAGGGCCACGAACGGTAAGTTTCATTATAGTATATTGTTGTATTTTAATTTGTTATTTTTAGTGACGGTGTTCATTCGAATAGAGAGGGATTATTGAGAATCTATGATTCTATAAGTTACCTCTTTAATTAATGGGTCTCGTACGTTCGGTAAGTGACTTTAATTGAAAAAATATAATAATTGTGTTATTAATTGTAGAGTACATGGTAACCATTTAGGATTATTTTTGGCGATGGAAGACTACCCTTTTTTAAGATCGTTCGGCAAACAAAGCAGTTGTGATTCATTTGAATGATCATTTTATTTTAACTATAATTGTAAACCAATTTCACTATTTACCTTAACCATAGAGTAAATACAATCCTTAACTCACTTACTGCTGTCTTTCTTTTCCTTACTTGAAAATTTGTGATTTTTCAAATTAACGACGATTACCAGCACTTTCTGAATGTATATGTTGAAAAATGGATATAATAAACCACTCATGCTCATCTAAATACAAAACACATGGATGAAAAAATGGTAGACTGCACAGAAATAGCTGTTATAATCTATTTAATAATAATAATAAATGATAAATATGATTGGCAACAAATAAGAACTATTCCAGCGATTGTCAAAATTCATTCGAGCATGAGATCCGAACACCTCGAATTGAACTTCTGGAAAGTAGGTACTGGCAAACAAAAGACTATGGGGAATGGTGGAACCCAAAATTTACAAACCTAGTGGAATTCTCTCCATATTCGTTGTCCGGCCAAGAATTGCAGTGGAATTTCTTTTTCAAATGTTCAAAAACTAATTCCAGATTCATGAGGCTCATGTTAAAAAACCCCCAGAAACCAAATTCAGAATTTTTTGCACCCCCAAATAGGGGTGCGCCTTTTCATGGTAGGAATTTTGAAAAAAAAATCAAAATCGGATAGGACATACCCGAAAACCTATTCAAAGAAGTGCCACCCATCTTTGTAACTCTCATGGTTGCTGAGAATAAAATTAAAAAAGAAATTTAAATTTCACCACTTCTTTGGGGGTGGCTCCCAAACGAAACACGTTGGACCCTCGATTTATTTGGAAAAAGTGCTCGTCTTGGTCCCCTCTATCACTCACTTTTTTACATGCGACCATGTAACACCCTGTATAGTGCGCAGATATTGCCATTGCGAGATTTTGTTTCCAAATTAGCGAAAGCACCACCTTCAGAATTTCTGGAGCGTGGGAACTAGATAGAGTGCAAACAACGAGGAATTCTGAAAGCGGTAAGCCTATCGACTGGATTTAGTGAAGGGGAAGTCCCCTAAATGAGCGAAGCGGTAGCCCCGCAATCGTCGGCCGCAGCAAACTGAAGTTTCCGGAACCCTCCCGCACCGAAATGGCGCCCCAGGCGGATGGGTATGGGCCGCCCCGACCGTGAAAGACGTATTCGCCTTACAAAGAAGAGAGAAGAGCTATAAGGATACTAATAATATACCCTACCGAAATGACTGCAGTCTTTTAAATAACTAAACTTTAGTTACTAAAGGTATTAACCCCGCCAGGTATGTGTGTGTGTGTGTGTGTGAGAGGGTGTGTGTGTGTGTGTGTGTGTGGTGTGTGTGGTGTGTGCGCGTGTGCGCGTGTGCGTGTGTGCGCGCGCGCGTGTGTGTGTGTGTGTCAATATGAAACTTTACCCCCAGATTTAATAAACTTGAAACAAAGTAAGAGACGCCGACAATTACCTCTCTTTGACTCTAATAAACAAAACCTGGATTGCAATGACTGGTTTAATTTCAGACAAAAAATTGCGTAAATTTCTGTTTTACAAATTGTTACAATTTTAAACAGATAAATGACACACAAAAAAAAAACAAATTACTCAAACATTACAAAAAAAACATGACAAAACAAACACTAACTACTACTTACTTTTAAAATTTGTCCGAGTAACGTACCCCGATACAAAGAGGTATCCGTACACGATCACGCAAACCAAACACTCAAACACCGACGTCTTCTCTCTTCGGGTACCCACAATTATTTTCAAAACTTCCGTGTTTCCGCAAAATAAAAAAAAACAGGACGGCGACAAACTTCTTAAACTTTTCAAAAATTCTTCTTAAACGGCAAACAAAAATTCTAATTAAACCTGGATCCAACTACGCAAGAAACTTCCACAAAATTCAAAAATAACGTAACCGAAGAAGCGCCGGTTGGCTTTGTAACGACCAAAAAGCCCCGCTCTCTTCAAAAATTTTCTATTTAAGCCAAAAGCCCTTCTCCTTTCTTCCACATCCCGTCCGCCAATCACGCGAAGCGTCGATTTTTCAACTTCTTGCTAAACGGCACGTACGCCCGGCAATTCTGCGAAGACAACCTTATCTCTACTTCGCGCTATACCTCGTTAACGGCAAATAAAATTTAAAAAGAAATTTACATCGAAAAAAATTCTAGGAATAAAATAAAAACAGAACACTTCTAAGAAATTGAACCAAAACTATAACATGAAATTTACGCAATCCTGTGTCTCAAATTATTAATAACCCCCCCGGTTAATTAATTGAACTAAACAAAATTGTCACATCCAGACGCTCTATAATTTCTTTCAAGTTACAACTAAAACAAAATAACACAACAATATATATATATATATATATATACATATATATATATATATATATTCTATTGAGTGCATTTTGTTTGCAAAAGACAAACAAAGCACATTCAAAACGCAGGCAGATTTAGGTTCATAAACATAATACTAGGCAAAAGATCCATATTAGAACCGATCGCGAGAATGTGCAAAGTCGGGAGAGAATTTCAGATTATCTAAGACTCAAAACAAATTTTTCAGAAGGTACGTGGGTATCACTGCCCATTGTACATTCAATTCCAAAAAATTCTTATACGTTAAGTGAAGGGTTAAGTTAACTTTAACACCTGTTTATGTGTTTCATAGTTTGTACAATATTCATATTAGTTTCAGTTTACTTAATATTTAACATTTTTATGTATATGTATAGTGCTCTCTTATTTTTCATTTGATGTAACACCAATATAGTTTAAGTTCAAGACTTTTGTAAGCTCTTTTTTTTTTACTTCAATTATAAAACATTTTTAAATGAATATAGAGAGGGCCACTCTTTCAAAATGTGTTGTAGTAAGGGGCATATGAAAGGAGCCGCAAGGAGAATCCAGTCAACAGCAAGTCCAAGTCAATGCCGATACTGATACTGAGATATTATCAAAAAAGAAAATCTGGAGTATGCTTAAAGTTCTGAGTGAGCAAAAAGGAGAAATTATTAATCTTGATTTATTTCGGTGGAATATGCTTCAGAGACATGAATCAATTTCATTAATTGCAAAGGACTTAGATGATCTATTTGGTTTTAAACATGTATACCAAGATTCCCATCTCTGGATGCAACGTGCATATATATTGAACAACAGTAGACTAAACCCACCTGATTACACAGAAGACGGTTTACCAGTCCCTGGACCAAATTGCCACATTAATCAGTTAGGGGGCTTAGAAGGAATGAAGCAGAAGCTTTGGACAATAATGACCCTCATGCTAATAAGAGTTGTAATAGAAGAAGAAAGTCTGAAAACAAGCATAATAGGCCAAGGCGACAATATTGCCATACTTCTCAATTGGGGAAATATCACAACCAGAGAAAAACAGACAAAACGTACGAGGTTCCTTACAAAATTAGCTACTAAGTTCGAAGAGGTAGGTTTAAGATTAAAGTTGGAAGAGACTTGGACGTCTACACGCCTTTTAGAATATGGAAAGATGAGGTGGCTGAATGGAGTTAGCGTCCCAAATGGCACGAAGCGAGCTATGCGCCTTATTTCGGACGAGCATGACGGAATTCCAACTTTTGATACTTCTCTTACGATGATTAGCACAGGAACCGAGAATATAGCCATGCAGGACTGGATACCAGATCCAGCCTTTATCTTATATGGTGTTGAGACAATGTAAACAAGTATAACAGGTTGGCGGCGACCAGCCTATAGATACTTCAAATTCGTCATGCGAGAAAGGATGATTACAAAACTCGTCTGCAGGTGACGCGGGACCTTGGATAATGTTTAGAATTAATTCATTTTTCATGATACGTACGCTCTTGCAATAAAGCGAATGACATTTTGTGGTTGTGATTTTAAGGAAGTATCGAATTCTACTTGCACCGTTTAGTCATCCCAATGAGCCCGTAAACATTTAAAGCCTGGGTGGTCTGGTCATTGAGTGGCAATAAATTAGTACCAGTAATATATACCCAAAAACTTGGAGTCTCACAGAGGCGTAAGTAACATATGTGTGATATCTAAAGTCGTAACAAAAGCATGCCTTCTTTTGTAGTTCGGTTTACGGATAGCCATTAATCCCAAGACGAGTACCCTACCGAAAGATAAATAGGGAAACCGCCAACATTCGTACGGCTATAGAAATGGTATATTAATACCTACCCCCATCACGCTAGTGGGCGAGTTCAGGGATAGTCGCTTTGTCGTTCGGGTAGTTTCACAGAAGAAGGAGCGCAGTAGTTCGCGTACCCATCATTATCCCTCTCTCCGGGAATTGGGCCTACCTTATCGTTATCACGAACATCCAACTTCAGGAATCCTACCTACGTGTAGGGGAAGGTTTTGCATGGTATGTTGTGTGTATGTGTGTTAATGCATCTTGGGTAGCGTATGCGCGTATGAGTGTTTGTTAGTCTGGTCATATTGTATTCTTGTTTATTTATATTTAAGTACCGGCATGAATTGTAATAAAATCTATCCGCCTTTTGCGTTACGTTAGTGAGTGTCTTCCGGTTACTGGAGTCGTACCCGCTGATATTATATCAGGGTTTCGCCGTTCCTCTGTATTGTCCAAACGGCGTGGCGCCCTTATCATTTCCTTATTACTTTGCTACGGGTTGCACCCGATCTTGTTACTTCCGATCAGCAGGTACGATTCAGTGGTATCCACCCCGACTCCCTGAGCTACTGGGCCAGTGACACAAGAGACCGTTACACAAGTAAGCGAAATTTCCCTCACAAATTGAAATTAAATGTGTGTAATAAAATTATATGTTTTAAAAGGAAACCCAAAATACGACCTGCCTCTAACATAGTCAAATCCGTTTTGCCTTTATTAGGCAGAGATTGGTTAAATATTTTATTTCCACGATGGCAAAGTAATTTTACATTAGCTTCGCGATCTTGTAGTCAAGTCGAAACTTTAAAACAAATGTATAAATCAATGTTAAACTTGGAATTAACCACCCCTATAAGAGGATTTGAAATTAAGCTAGCTATGAAAGAAAATGTGAAACCGATATGTTATGGTGAGAGGTACAGACGATTGAAAAACTAAAAGCAGCATTCAAT